CAGTAAATTTACTGTAATTTATTATGTTGATTTCTATACATTTTTCCTCAGTTACTAACTTTTTTTACCCCAGAATTTGGCTTGCCGTACAGTTTTATCTTAATAAAAACAGATATGATATAATACACAACAAAAAACATACAATTTCTGAGAATTTTAGTTCTAAATTGAGGTGAAAAGTATTGTCTGTAGTTTATTTAAAACACAAATGATCAAATGCCAGGTTAAGATCACACACTGGATTTTAAATACAATTTCTTGCCATCTTTCCCATCAAGGTTTCTGAGTTTATTAATTCGGAGTTAACCGAGGAAATTCACACCAAAACATCACGTATTCATGGTATCCGGTAGGGCTGCACGATATCAGCAAAACCTGCGATTCAATGCTGAATATTGAAATGACAATATGACCTGTAATAAGTGCAACTAGACACAGCTGCTGTTTTAGCAGTGAAACAACAAACTACAGTTTCTTAATGACCTTTAAGTGCCCATGACATCAAACTTTTGTACTAAATATGAATACATTTTTGGAAAGACGACATTAATAACATACTGCAAAACAAATTTCACGCCACTGACACGAGCAGTTGTTGAGATAGTCGGATGTGAAGTAATAGGAAGTGATGTCATAGGGTAATGTCTGCATGTGAGCAGAGCACTGATATCTGTTTCTTTAGATTATTTTGAGTCTCTATCAGAGTCAGCGTTTAAATAAAATAGTTTTAATAAACAAAAATCAGAGAGTTTATTTTCTTAAAGACCCTTTGATGTCACTTCSTGTTTCACTTTGGCTGAGCCACGTTCAAAGGAAAATATGTTAGTTATGTGAAAAAATGGGTAAAAGCATGTTTACTATGTCAAGTTTCTTCAATATATAGATGTTTTCTTTGACATTATGTATTTGAAGGATACGTTTTAAAACATCTCCCTCATAAAATGTTTTATAATGTTCTAAATACTGAAAACACGCCTGCACAGAGCTGTTTGATGGAAAGAACACAGGCTGCTGTTGTGATGAATTTGAGATACATTGTGCGGCCCTAGAATCTGGAGTGTAAAAATAAAGCTGTTTTTTTTTACCTGTGGGGTCCTGCTTCGTAATAAAGGACTCCGAGCTTACAGGCTGAGTGCGCGGCATCCGACAGGCGATGCAGATCAGGCAGCTCTGCAGTTCTGAAGAACAAAAAACATAAAACGTGAAAAATCTGTAATCATGAGGAAAAACTACTWATAAATTAAATATATCACATTTTCATTGCCAGATCTTCTTGTATGTTTACTGAAAATTTAGGACAGGGTTCCAACAGCTTAAAACAAGTTAAATTTAAGACTTTTTAAGACCCATTTAATGCCACTTGAAACTTATTTTAAGACCAAATTCACAAAAAAACAATACGAAAAAAAGAAGAAAAGTTTAAGATGAGATGAGCTGCATCAGGACAAAACCAGAAAAAAAAAACTTAGCAACAAAGTTACCCAAATGTTTACTTTATTAAAGCAAAACTTTGTGAACTTTAACAAAAT